TTTATTTGATTTTCCAACTCTTGTGAAAATTCATACCAGCTTCTAATTACTTCTCTTTTTATTTTAGATTGATTCCTTTCTAGGTGTATAACTTTATTATAAAGTTTTACTAATATTGGATCATTATTACTGTTATTAGTATTAACAATATTATTGTCAGTATCACTATTTCTTGCAACAGGTGTGTTTAATTCTCAAATTAAACAGTTCATTTTGGTAGTCATTATAACGGTAGTAGTAGGCATAGGTGCAGGTATAGAAGTCGTAATATTGGTAGCAGGTGCGGAAGTCGTGAAATTGGTAGTAGTAGGTGCAGGTGCAGGCGTAGGTATAGGTGTAGAAGTCATAATATTGGTAGCAGGTGCGGAAGTCATAAAATCGGTAGTAGTAGGTGCAGGTACGGAAGTCGTGATATTAGTAGCAGGTGCAGAAGTCATAAAATCAGTAGTAGTAGGTGCAGGTGCAGGCGTAGATACAGGTGTGGAAGTCATGATATTGGTAGCAGGTGCAGAAGTCATGAAATCGGTAGTAGTAGGTGCAGATATGGAAGTCGTGATATTGGTAGCAGATGCGGAGGTCGTGAAATCGGTAGTAGTAGATGCAGGTGCAGGCGTAGGTACAGGTGTAGAAGTCATGATATTGGTAGCAGGTGCGGAAGTTATAAAATCGGTAGTAGTAAATGCAGGTATGGAAGTTGTGATATTGGTAGCAGGTGCGGAGGTTGTGAAATTAGTAGTAGTAGGTGCAGGTGTAGGCATAGATACAGATATGGAAGTCATGATATTGATAGCAGGTGCGGAAGTTATGAAATCGGTAATAGTAGATGCAGATACAAAAAATATAATATCGGTAGCAGATTTAGGTACAGGTAAGATAGGTGCGAAAGTTGTAGTGGTCTATATAAGTGCAGGTGCAGAAGTCGTGATATCGGTAGTAGTGGTGGTGGATGTAGGTGTGTTAATAGTAGTAGATATAGGTGCAAACGTAGTGGAAATAGGCGAAGTTGTAATAGAAGTATCAGATTCAGGGTTTAATAACGATTCAATAGAGCTGGCTTGTCGAGAGATTTGAACGTTTATTTCTTCTGAACTATCTTCAGAAACAATTTGAAGATTGTTATCCAACTGGGTAGAAATTCCTTGAGTGCTTTCTTGACTATAACAATTTCCAAGCTCAGTCGACTCAATACACTCTTCTTGGCATAGTGAACATTGACTATCTGCCCAACGTTCTATATATAGTTTGTGAAAAAAATGTTTACAATTTAAAATTGTTATTGACTCCTTAAGTGTTGGGTCAATATTATCTTTGCATATAAAGCAAAGATTTCGTTCATGTAAATTAACATCTGCTAGAACTTCTGTTGATACTTCGTGGGAAATAATTTTATAAAAAAATTTTTTTAATACATTCATTTTTTTTTTAAAAAAAAAAATATAATCAATGTCCAATTTATTTATATTTTATGAGTGACTAGTGAAATTTTTATAAAGACGCCGTCTTTACCTATATGTAATAAAATCTATCAATATTATATAAAATGTTGTAAGTAAATAATACAAATACTTGAATATTCTATTACCTTAGCGCATTGATTAAAGATCGATGACCGATTTTACATACATATGATGTAATTGTTAGCTAAAACAATTACAATGTATGTACGTAAATCGGGCATCGATCTCTAATCAATGTGCTAAAGTAATAGAGTATTCAAGTATTTGCATTATTCACATCATTTTTTTGACTTGTAATATATAACTTTTGGATGATTGCATAATTAATTTGTAATAAAATAGAAAGTATATTAAAGCCTGTATAAGTTAGACTCAAATGTAAAATGAAAATGATGTAATGATTAATATTGTAAAAAAGGCAAAATTATAAAGCGAACCTTTTGCTTTTCAAAAAAAATAATGAAAGTATCGTAAGAGTTACATAGAGATCCATACAATTGTTAAATTACAACATTAAAACATACAATATTACAGTATTATAGCAACAATGTTTCTAAGTTAAACTATAATAAGAACGGTTATCATCTGATCTCATGTAATAAAATATAGAAATACTTCACAAAAGATGGCTTCCCTTTCTCTTCATATCGATAATAATGGTAAGCATTATTTATATTCGCTTCCTATATTACAAAACATCCATTATAAGTTCAAAGCCAAGAATGAGTTAATGAAGTAGTAAAATAGGAGCTTTTGATGATTGAGTGTGATATACTAGAATACTATATAATTTTTCTTTATCGAATTCGAGATATGCATGTGATGCAATTATTTTAAAAGTGGTACACTGTAATTTTTTTTTTTTTTAGGATGGATCAATAAAAACGGGTCAAGTGGTCAAAAACAATGTTTTTGCTTCACAGTATTTACCAAAAAAAATAAAAAAAATAAAATAATATATATATTTTTTTCTATTTCGAAAACTGCGATAAATAAGCAAAAATTACATACATATTATTTAATTTCTGCTATAGAATCATTAAACATGTAATTTTATAAACAATCTTTAGAAATTTTATCTTATAATATACCAAACCCATTTTAAAAAAGTTGGTTCTTTAAGACCGATATTACAGTATGCTTTTAACTTATTATTAGAATGTAATATGTAGAAATAGAAACATCTGGCTTAAGCTAGCTCTGAGCTGAACCAATTTAAGTCGGCTTGAGCTGGCTCAAATATAATCATGTGGCCTAGCTTAAAAAATATTTATCTATTATGGGTTTAACTTGACCTAATTAATATAATCAAATTCAAATCAGCATAAATTGATTAATTTGATCCAGTCAAGTTAATTTAACAGAGTTAAGTTAAACTATTAGTCAAAATAAGTTAGATTTGCAAATTTTTGAATAATGATTATTTTTGATGTGCACCAAAATGTTTGGTTACATGATCAAGCAATGTAAGAATCTAACAGTTTTAATTGATAAAAGTTTTTTTGCAATTATTAATACACAAGTTTGATTACTTGCTAGAATAGTTAAAACGAAATTTCACGCTTTAAATCTTCATATTAGCATAACAGACCTAACAGAGAAAATTATCAATCAATTTATAGAAGACTCTCAAATAAATATTCAATACATGCAATGATATAGGTTTTTAAGGAGATCTGAAAGCTCATATAGTATATAAAGACAATCAAATATTACATCCAAATGTTAAAATATTTGCTGCATACAATCTGTATAGAATAATGCCTAAAAAAAGGTAAGACGATATATTTATAAAAGGTATATAGCAAATTTATGAATTAGGCAAATACAGAAGTGAAGAGATACAGGAAAAATTATATATTACACTGTCGTGAACTAGTTTACGATCAGTATTGGTAGGGATGTTAACAGTCCGGTCTGGTCAAATCTGATCTATTTTGGTCCAGGTCTGGTCTGGCCTATTATGGTTTTCATTCTTAAGACTTTGTCAATCTAGACCGGTCCAGAGTGGTCTGGTCTTAAGACTTATAGAAGACCAGTTTTTTTCGAGTTTAGACCGGTCTTAAGACTAACCGTAGTTTATTAGTCTAAAACTGGACCACATAACATCTTTAAGTATTGGCATCACTAAGATTAATCGTGAACTAGTTCACAGTTGGTATTGACATTATTAACAGGATCGATTGTAAACTAGTTCAGTCAGCATTGGCATTACTAACAGGATTGATTGTGAACTAGTTCACAGTCAGCATTGGCATCATTAACAGGATCGATTGTGAACTAGTTCACGGTCAGCACTGGCATTTAGTGATTTGACCCTTCACCCGAGTCACCCGTCGGGTGGACAATAAGTCACCTGGGTGGAAGTCGGGTCAACTTAAAAATATCGCCCACCCGGGTCACCTAACGGGTGACCTGTTGGATGACCCATCGGTTCACCTGGTTAGTATAAAAAGACCACTCAGGTGGTATTATTACAAAGAATTACAGCTCTTTTTAAATCCTGGACACCTAATAAAAATGATTTTTGACTGATTTGATTAAATTATTGATTTCGGTATGATTGGTGTATATTTTTAGACGTAATACTTCGGGATTAGAACCATACAGCTAAAATCGGGATAATGTCATAAAACGTCTAGTTGACAGTTTATAGAGCTATCAGACAATATGAATCAAGACAAATCAGGATAATATTGGAATTTTTTCCTATAGAACAAATCGGCATGCAGGTTATAGATGCATAAATATGTTTAGTGATGTAATCTTTTGTTTGCGTCTTAATAGGAATATAGATTACATGAGTTCGGATGCGGTTATAGTGTCCAGACCTGTGCGATTACATTTTTAATACATAAACTGCGTAATAATTTATAGTTATCGTGCACGAAGTGCACGATAACTAGTTACAGGCAGATTTATATTCAAATCACATAGCCTTTGGCTATGTGATTTGAATATAAATCTGCCTGTAACTAGTTATTGTACATTTTGTGCATGATAAATATTTTATCGTTTGGGTCCTATGTAACAGTTTCTGATGTCAAATAAACTTTTTTTTTTATGATATTTAAGCTATTTATCTTTTTTGCTTTTTCTTTTTCTTATTTGGATTCTAAAAAATGACTATTAGATATTTACATGAAGAAGCTAAACATTTTAAAAAAATCTATTTTATGTAGCTAAAACTGAAAAAACACTACTAAATGGCTCCAAGCAAATAGTATTAATAAAACGATTAATCGATTGACAATAAAGCTGAACTCGATGAATTTTTAAGCTTGTTTATTGCATTGCTTACAAAGATTGATGGCAAACTATTTATAGTTGAATTAATTAACAACTGTTATACTGTATTAGCATGCTGCTTACGTGAAAATTTTTCTATTCTGGGTAATATCGATGGTTTAAATCCTAAAGTCCTCAAGCCATTTAAGATTCCTA